TAGAATTAAAGCGTTCGTCGTTTTTCAAAAATTCGGTAACCATAAAAACATGGTGAATTGTTTGTTGATGCTTGAAGGAATCCTTCTGAAGCCATTTTTTAGTTTAACGCAAACTATAAATTATTTAAATCCACAAACTAATTAGTGAAACACAACCACACAACTAAACACTATGCACAGAACGTAAACAATCCGCCATTTATATGACCAGAGACGTCACAACCAATAGGATTGCGTTTTAGAGATTCATGAATAATTTGTGTGTGTTTCAAATGAAAATCTGGGTTATTTGCAAAGAGTTTACAAACAGTTTGCTCGGTTTTCTTTGCGTTCAGATGCTCTCGACTGATTTTGATATAAAACTTGTGCCGATGTAAAATCTGTTGAAACAAACAAGATCGATTACAATTCTTCTGCTATTTGGACGGAACTGAACCATCAAAGTTGCCCCCTATTCAGTTATTGAAGAGACACTTTCCTCCTCCTTTGCAACGATAACTCTAAAAACTACCAATAGAGAGTCATAGTCGGACAAAGCTAGAGAAGGAAACAGTCGATATTTTTGCACATTCCACGCAGATATGATTGAAAAAAACGATAAATTTACTGACTAGAGAAGGAAATTCTCAAGCATTTTATTGGCAACGTCTTCAAAGTAGCTCCAATAAAATGACTGCATGCCGTGAACCCCATAGGTGGTTTACCAACATTATATGATCGCGACTATTGGCATATCGCAAACTGCATCAGTCAGTCTGGTAATAAGGCGCACTAAACTTGAAGATAAGCAGAAAAAAACATAAATTTCCTGCTTAATTGAAGAACTAGGATGTATATTTTTCGCTGATGGCGTTAATGTCTGTACAGGTTCTTCTAATTATAATAAAATTTTATGCTTTCATGGTATCTGCCTTGGAGCGTTTTGGATTGTAAAACGCACCATCCACAGGGTGTTTGATTCAGTGGATCACATTTGCAAAGAAAAAGTATCGAAATGTCTACCAGATTTTAATGGCTGATATACTGATACTAATTGAGATTTTCCTCGGACTACTTGTTTGTTAGAATAGAACAAATCGATTCCAATTTCGATGAAATCCAGCAGTACTTTTCCGAGTGAAGATAATTGAAAACCCGCAGCATTTCAAGTGGTGGTATTTAAATCGTAACTGTTCCATCTCATGCACCGATGCTGTTGCAAATGAGCGAAAAACTGAGCAGAAAAACCACATGAACAGTTGGTTTCTGTGTAACCGCATTTTTCTATCGGACGTTATCTATTAGGACTGCCGATAAATTTCCGGACCAATTTATGGCCTGTCGCTTTCAATATTTTACTGGGGATACGATATCTGTAGACGTAGAAGACAATAATTTGTGGCGTTTCTTTCAAGCCGAGATTACAGTGTCACTTGGCCAGGTAAACAGCGTTTTAATTAAGGATTAACGAGGCCAATTCTAGCGAAAGACGTTACAAATATGTATTTGCCATTAGTGGATGTTGAGAAGTGGGAATTGCTTTTGAAAGAATGTGTGTATGAGGTAAATGGATTGCAATCTTCAACGAAATGAGAGTGTTAAGTACGTTCGTACACATGAGTTTGTTAACCAGACTTCCATTAAAACTGGCGCTGAGTTCATAAATTAACACGTATTATTACAAATTAAAATATACGGCTATTTGTGTTAATTATAATTGCACTTAAACCTTACTGCGCTCGTTTGATTCGTTGTTGTTGTGGGGATTGGATTTCAAAAAATGCAAATTTTAAATATAAACTGCAGGATTTTCGCCTGCTTTGGCACATTTCCCTTTGAGCCCAAATACAATGAACCGTCTTAACTGCAACACTGATTAGTTGTTATCGCCGGCGAGAAGAAGCGGCACTTGTGATGTCGATATTGCAAAAAGCTCTTAATGCTGTTTGAATTGGAATACGAAACGTTTCATTGCGACGATTATAATTTTACGATCGTCGGATGCTGCTGTCGGTAAATTCGTAAGCAAAGGATGTGCTAGTTAAGAGGGAATTTCAAACGGAAATCGTTTAAAAATAACGAGTTAAAAGTTCCAGTTGATGCTGTTTTAGCGTCTAATTTCGCCAATCATTTAGCTTCAATGTCCCTTGTTTTAAAGACCTTTCTATATTAGGGAAAGTGTAGAAAATGAACCCGCATTGGAAGAAACCAGACCACTTAAGCAACCCTAAAATGAGCGTTTTGCCCCAAAAAAACCACAATCGAATACTATTTACTGCACTTAAATGTTCCAGTCGTTTAAAGTCATCAGCATTTTTCTCGGTTTTCGAGCAATTCAAAGGATTCCCAGCCATTATCAGCATGCGACTCAGAAGCATTAATACCAGATCTGAAAACATTTCCTGATAACATTTACGTTAATTGCAACAATTAATCCCGGCATTTGTGCCCCATTCTGGGTCGGCGGATTCTTTTGTAATTGTGTTTTATGATGTTCCGCTTAATACTTGCCAGATGTAGTTTTTTTCTCCCGTGAAAGGTAATAAGAGGTAACGCAAAGTAATTGACTAGGATCGTCAATAAAGTAGCTGATTTTATTATTTCGTTACTTTATAACCGGCAGGTGGTCATTTAAAATCCATGAATACCCAACATTATAACTGCTTCATTAATTTTTAATGGGTTTGTGTTGTGGATTTTCGTCGTAGTGAATTTTTTGCCTTTCGATTTGCTCATGCAGGAGCAGAAATTACGTGAACTTCAACTAAATTAAGTGGTTGGAAATGATTAATTATTATATGCGCGGTAATGGACGAAATAAGTGATTTGGACAAAAGGAGGATCCCTCTTCAGTTTCGTCACGCTTTTAGTCTGATTGATTGTGTTCCTTTGCAAAACTAATTTCCCATTCCCAATGGCTTAAAGTGTACCTAGAGTAGATGATCTAGAACTCACCTCAAGTTCATTAATATGTACTCTTTATCGACTAAAGCATCTTAAGCCGAAAGGAACATTTTAAGCAACTTATGCTAGGATTTCCTGCAAGGCCCAGATGGTGTGACCTTATTATGAACATTTTAGTTAGAAGGCCTAATCTGCTTAAAATTAAAGCTCTAGTGCGGTTACAGGGCCTTTCAAACGAGAAAGCTT